CTTCCTTACACTCCACTAAACACTCTTCCCGCCATTTTTCTGTTCTCTTTTTACTACTTATCCCCACCTAAACCAGGGGGGCGTCCTACTAATGGGACATTTGGACATTTGGATCATTTCAGAATGGAAATTTCTTGGGATTGTTGGAGCTTGTGGCTCAGTTTGACCCATTTTTAGCAGCCATATCTCAAAAGATGGGAATGCTGGCAAAGGTAACCCATCATACTTATCTAAGACAATATGTGATGAACTCATTGGTCTAATGCGTGACAAAGTGTGTTCAGCTATTGTGGATGAAATAAGTACTGCTGGGTACTTCAGTTTATCTATCGACTCTACACCTGATCTTTCACATATTGATCAATGGAGTATTGTACTAAGATATGTGTCTCCCACAGATGGAAAACCAGTTCAACGATTTATAACATTCCTCAATCTGAAAAGCCACACTGGTGAAGAAATGGCAAATCAAATACTGCATTATCTGTGCCAAGTTTGCAAAAGAGATTTCTCAAAGTGCAGAGGTCAATCTTACGACAACGCTGCCAGCATGTCAGGGTGTTATCAAGGAATGCAGAAGAAGCTTTTGGAACAGAACAAATATGCCATATTCATACCATGTGCTACACACTCTCTCAGTCTTGCTGGCCCTGGTGCTGATGATTGTTGTCCGGTGGCAGTAAGTTTTTTCTCAACAGTCCAGTTACTTTATACATTTTTCTCTGCCTCAACACACCGATGGGCAGTTCTTAAAACATATTTGGGCAATGATCGTGTGTTGAAATCTCTTTCTAATACTCGCTGGGAAGCACATGCAGTGGCAACAAGTGCAATTCTGGAGTCCTACTCAAAGATTGTGGATGCATTAGAAAGTATAGCTGAGGACCAATCACAAAAGGGAGAAACTATAAGAGAGGCAAAAAACATTGCAAACAAGATGCAAGAACTAGAGTTTGTATTCATGTTGACCATGTGGAATGAATTTTACAACACTTTTACTACACAAGTCAAGCTCTCCAAGAAAAAGAATTGGATTTGAAAACATGTGCAGACCTCTGTCAATCATTAGCAGACCACGTACACACGTTGAGGAATGATTTCGAAAGATTTGAAGGCATATCAAAAGATATCTTGCCTGATACTAACTACAAAGAAGCTCAGTCCCACGAGCAAATCAGGAAAAAACAAGCAAATGATACCAGTGCAACAGAAACAGCATTGAATCCTAGAGACAAATTTCGCGTATCTACTTACTACGCTATAATTGATACACTTGAAGCTCATATGAAGAGGAGAGGTGACGTGTACAAAGAAGTATCAAGTAGATTTTCTTTTCTAAATGATATGGACTTATCTGATGAACAATATTCACAAGGTTCCCAAAAGCTAGTTGACTCATACCCTGTTGACTTGAACATGAATCTCTGTGGAAAAGTACAGCAGTTCCACTGTTATATGTGCGCAAAGTTTAATGAAACAGGAAAAATGAAATTCAGTCACATTGATCTTCATGACACAATATTGAAAGACGGAATACAATGTGTATTTCCAAATGTAGAGATCGCACTACGTATTTTTCTAACATTGATGATTACTAACTGCTCCGCAGAACGCTCTTTTTCTCAGCTGAAAAGAATAAAAAACCTTCAGAGAACAACAATGTGTCAGGACAGACATGATTCATTTTCCCTATTGTGTATGGAAGCGGACATGCTTCGTCGAGTCAGCTTCGATGAACTTATCCAGAATTTTGCAATCAGAAAATCTAGAAAGAAGCTATTTTAATTTCAGCAAACATGTAAGTTTTTTGTGTCATTTTGAAAAATAAAATTTTATTTTACGGTATAGTATTGTTTTTATTTTGAATTACATATGGGGGGCACCATAATCTTTTCAGTGCTTAGGGCCTTTAAAGGTCTTAATCCAGCCCTAGTTGGGATGAATGGATGGGATGAAAAAGAGCATTTAGCGCAGCGACAATGGGTAATGCAAACGACTAGCTTCACTGGGAGCATGCACATCAATGTGACTGAGGTAAAACTGGGTATGTATGACCCCCACCCTGGTGTATATCCAACCATCCCAATCCAACAGCTATCGCCACACCCGCACTGAATACAAACACATGGCTCCCCATCTGCAAATGCAGCACTATGGCACTTTCTCCTAGCATGAACGGCAGCTGCAATTCAGTGGTGCAGGTGAGCTGCACTAAAGGTTACTGGAGACTGACCCAGCGCTGGGCAACTCATTTATTGTGGATAATTCATCCAGCAAATTTAAACCCTTTTTCCTTCTGAAGCAGACTTTGATCTTCCCAAATTGAGTGCCTATTTGCAATGGTGAGACCAGTCATTTGGGCCAGACACTTTCAGACAATGGCTTCAGAAAACTTCACCACCACTGTTTCTCAAGTGCGTGATTGGTCCCCTAAGCCGCATGATATTTTTTCTGCTCCCTGATTGGACGACTTAAACTTTTTAAGCGGGAGACTGCGTGATGAAGAGCATGATAAAGGGCACCATCCCCCGAATATTCAAACCAAGTAAAACCTACTCATGAATAACCAGCAGTTAAAAAAAAAAAAAATCCCAGCTTCAAACTCATTGCCTTCTGGGCTTGGAGCCTTTGGCCTCCATGCTTCCAAGCACATCAGTGAGGGCTAGAAAATTGCCCAAAGATGCAAGCTGAGTTCCTCCCATAAACCCCTGACTCCAGGTACTGGCACTTTGAGAACCGCCGCTCCTGAAATCTTACGAGAATTGAGCCATTTGGAATCCCAAGGCCCATCAGCAAACGCTGGTTTGCAGGCTTCGCCAGGTGCTAGTGGGGAATGTGGTAACGTAAGATATCCAGGGGCCAGCCCAACGATAGTCTCTCTGCTCGTGGCCAGGCAGGCCTGGGTTCTCCCACTGGAGAGGGTTCTCCTGGCTTAGTCGTGGGCGCGCTGGGGCTGCTACAAACTGGCATAGATTAAAGCTCCGGGCTGCCCAAGAGCTCAGGGGCACAGATATGGCATCCAGCAAGCTCAGTGGCCCCCTGCCCCAGTTCCGTGCTGAGTAGAGCTTGACCAGAGGCTCCTGTTTCTTCCTTATGATGTTCTCTCTCTGCCTTGCAACTCCTCATCCTCTTGCTGGGGGGGTCCTGTCCAGGAGGGCCCTGGTGACACCCCCCCCCCCGAGACATTCGCCTCTCAGCCCAGGGGAAGGGCACTGAGGCTTTTCCTCCATTCTCTGATGACGGTGACCCAGGCACAGCAGCGGGCGTGTAGTGAGACATCAAAGGGAGTTCTTCCTTTCTGGCCCGAGAGGGGCTGGCGCAGAGGGGGCACCTCCCAGGGACTGCTGTCTGCCTGTCACGGGGGCTCCTGCCCCGAGCCCAGCCCAGGCTGCCCCTGGCCCAGCAGGGAGCATGCTGTTGTCCTGATGGGGATACACAGCTCCTCTCTGGTGGGGTGCAGCGATGCTGAGGGACTGGAGCTGCAGCAGGCAGGTGCCTGGAGGAGAACCATGTGCCATGGGGGGCCTTGCACAATCACATGAGGAGCCAGCTCCCACATGGAAGCCAGGGAGGAGAGCTGGACTGCAGCCAGGCTGGGGGAGGAGATACTCATGGGGGGGGGGAGAGAGGGGCTAAGAAGACCCAGGAATGGGGGAGCTGCCACCCCCACCCTGCCCTGGGATGGCAGAAGGAGAGCAGGACACCAGGCCCCACCCCAGAGGGCTGCCGTGGGAGGCGGGTGCCCAGGTCTGTATGACACCCCCCCTCCCGCCCCACGGCTGCTTTAGGGAACAGTCCCCATGTCAGTGTCTCGGCCCCTTGCTGGGTGGCAGATGGTGCCTCCTGCCAGGCAGCTTTCTATGCCCCCCATGCTTTGGACCCCTCTGGCGGGTGGGGGAGGTGGCCGGTCTGAAACCTGCACAGGGACAGGCATCCACAACCCTTGGCATTGGGTCACAGCCGAGAGACGGTAGCTGAGCGTGGGCAGTTGGGGTGCTCTGAGCCCAGGAGGAGCATGTGTGTGTAAGGGGCACTGCTGGATCTCGCTGGGCCCTGCCCACCAGCTCTGTGGGGGGCTTTGGTCTCTAGGCTCTCAGCGAATAACCTCCCCAAAGCAAACTGTCCCGTGGAGAAGGTGCTGGGGCATGGGACGTGCCCATGGACTGGCAGAGCCCTCTGCTGGCTGCTCCTGTGGGGGGACGTAAGGACCAGACCTGGGTTTCTGAGCTCCTGGAACATGCTCTGGAGGCAGCTGGAGTCAGGAGGGCAGAGCAGATGCCCTCGAACAGGAGTCTTGAGTGTGTCGCTCATGGCACAGGGAAAATCAAATCTTGGAAGAAGCTGAACTTCCCCCTGAGACCATGAGCTCCTGATTCCTCCCGGCACCCTGAGCTGCTTATGGCATCAGCGACGTGAACCTGGGCTAACCCTATCTCCATGCAGTGAGCCAACCTGGCCGCTAGCCCGGTGGGAAGATGATCTCGTCGAAGAGATACTGTCAGGGGCAGGGCCTCAGAGCTGTGCATCCCATTCCCTCGCCTGATCTGGCCCGTTCCCAATTAAACAACACGATCCGTCTCCAGCTGGAGTGTTGTCAACTTTCCTGCCCGGGTGGTGGGCACTGCTGTGCTTAAAGAGCCAGCTGGGGGAGTGTTTTCGTAGGTCCACCGTTCCCCCACCCCTGCAAGCGGCCAGTGTTCTGAAAGGAATCAAGAGCCCGTGGCTCCGTTCCTGGCACAGGGCCCCTGACAGTGTCCCTCCTCCCCGCAGCGTCTGGAGCAAGGCCTGGGGGAAAAAGGTGTTAGTCCGAGAGGAGATGCGAGGACCAGCTACCCTGTGCCAGGCGGTGGCACAGACAGCTTAGCCATTGCAAGGGACGTGCCCAGCTGGGGGTTAGCGGTTAGGTGCATGCCATGGGGGAGGAGGGTTAGGAAGCCCAGGCATGCCCTGGGAAGGGAGCCGGCTCCTGCCCTTGGGGGGGATCTGAGCGCGAGTCCCACCTTGCGTTCTGCTGGTGTCGGGCTGTGGGAGGAGTCGGCGGCTCGGCTTCCCCGTCCTCCCGGCTGGACACTTTGGGTCAGCGCAAAGGCCTGAGGAGAAGGAGCAGTGCAGAGAGTTAGAGCTGGCGGGGACAGAGGCCACCCAGGGGGTGGGCGGGGATGGTCACTAGGGCAGCAGGAGGGGGTCATGCCCACCTGGAAGGGCTAGAAACTCCCCCTGCCCCCAGTCAGCACGCCTGCCCCTGTTCCTAGAGCGCCCCCGTGGGCAGAGCCAGCGCTCTTGAGCCCAGGACATTGTGAGCATGCCCAGGCTCTTGTGTGTGCCGCATGCAATTGTGCCCACCGTGTGCTAGTGTGGTGGCATGCTTGTGATGGCATGTGTGGGCATGGTGTGTGCCAGCATGCGTGGCACATGTATGTGTGTGGCACACACTGGATGGGCCTCCTCCTGCCCCGTACTGACACTGACAGCAGATGTGGAACATTGTGACAAGCCCCCTCCCCCCGCCCGGGGACAGAGGAAGGGACCAAGACCCTTGGTTAAACATCAGGGAATCCTGGCTCCAGCAGGGCTGGGTCCTGGCCCCGCTCTGGGACTGTGTGTGACCAAATGCCTGGCTCAGGCCTGCCACACAGTACTCATAACCGTGCCCTTTGCTCTGCCTGCCGCATCCTCATGACACCCAGACTGAGAACCCCACGCTGCTGAGAGGCCAGGACAGTGGCAAATGCCCTGATGCGGCCTGCGGTTTGAGGAGCCTCAATGCTTCCCAGTCCTTACCCCACACTCAATAAGGCTTGCCCAGCGGTGCCCATGGGTGCTATACAGGAGGTGCCACCCTGGCTGATGGGCTCAAGGCACATGGTTCACTAGTCATGGTGTATCAACTTTAAATTAAAAAAAAACAACAACAACCCCAAACTTAAGTTTATATTCTCAGCCGGGAATAGTGTGGAGCCCACAGTTCCATAACACGGCTGGGAAATCCCTTCCTGACCCCAGCTCTTGCCCTGAAGCATGAGGATAATGAGGAACTCCGGGATTACCCCAATCCCACAAAGCTGCTGTGGGGGGCCAGCTCCTCCCTCTCTACTCACTTTATGCACAGCTTCACCATCTGGCTTTTCTCCAATGGACTGCGGTGCTAGGAGGTACCACCCCTCCAGGACCGGTGGGCAGAGCCCATGGCAAACAACAGGCCCCTCCCCCTCCAGTGACAGCCATAGCCTATTTGAATCCTGGGAGGTGGTGGGCGGAGCCTTTCCAAAAGAAAAGCCCACTCCCACTATATGGGCAAGAGTGGGACTAGATTCCCCCCCAGCTTGGGGGGTGACCCCCTCCCGCCTCTCGGAGGAGACTGACAGCAAGGGCCCGAGGTCAATTAGGGCCCCTGATGCTCACGGCGATTAGGGGATGCAGCCCCAGAAGAAATGCACTGAGATCCCCATGAGCCCCCAAACAGCCTTAAGGAGGGGACAGAACAGCCTCTGCTTGTCAGGGATCACAGCTGGATTGGAATGGATGTGGGGGAGCCCCTCTGTCCCAGCCCCCATCCTCTAGGACAAGCAGCCAATAGAAAGCCAGGAAGATGTGCGTCCATTTCTTGCACAGAGTGCGCAAAAATGCATGCCTGTTTGGCTGTGAGTGATGAACCCAAATCACACAATTAGAACAAGGCAGGTGTTAGCCAGGCACAGTCCACGACACAGAGGGCCTCATTGGGTGACGCTGTTCCCCAGACTTACAAGTTGGCCAGCTGGAAGAAATGCCGGGGCGGCTGGGTGCTGTGATGCACGTTCTGTAGGAGGGAGCTGTGGCAAGCAGCAGGGCAGTTTGCTCGCCGCCCCATCCACTCTAACTAGAGTCAAGTCCGGAGGGCGAGTTGCTGCTGAAGAACTGAGCATTGGTGCATGGGCGAGATTCTCGGATGAAGGGCGGTTTGGGCCCACCTCAGTTCCAGGCCCGGTGGATACACTGCTTTCTCCTCCACTGGCAGGCTGGCCTGCAGGCCCCGAGCTCTGCAGAGGGCTCTCTGCAGAGAGCTCTGCAGGGGCAGAGGGGCAGCAGTATTAATGAAGCCATTCGCAGACACAGGCAGGCTTAGTAATGGGACCGAGGTGCTGACCTGTGGGTGGGATCAGCTCTCCAGTAACACAGGACGCTGGCAACCCCAACCAGCTGCGACGCAAAAACAGAGATTCCCTGTTCCACACCTCACTGTATGCACATGATAGAATAACCTAGAGCTGAGCGCTAGCAGAGCCCTGGTGGAGCCGAGCTGAGGAGCAGCACCTGATGACTTCATTTTTCACTGTTTAATATGTGTCCCCATTCTTGACTCTGGGGGCATGAGCCCATCTTAGATACAGATACAAAGAATTCACTAGTGTAAACTGAAGTTAAACATACCAAACCTCATTTACCCCTCCCTCCCCATAGCTACCTGAGCACCTGCCATGTAAAAATTTCTGCATTTCCCATGTGCCCCATGCTGCCAAAACTCATCAGCCTCCAACGGGAGAGAGACGTTCCAGCCCCCAATGGGATCACTCGCTACCCCAAGCTAGGCCACCGAGCAGCGCCAACGACTCTGCAGGCAGCCAGGCCCAAAGCAGAGATTCTCCCACCTCAAGGAGTGTGCAAAGCTCCCGGCAGATCTTCAGCAAGAGCCAGGGGCTTGGCATATCTCAGCGCAGTGCAGGGGCTCCCCAGCTGCTTTCCAGATGGAGCCCTTCCCTGCCCGAGGATCCTGTCCAAAGGGGATTCACAGCCCAGTAGCTGAAAACTGCCCCCTGGCAAGGAAATCCATAAAGCGAACCCCACACACAGTTCAGAGACACCGGGATGGCCAGACAGCTGCTCTATTCCATGAGTGCCCCCTTTTGAGCTGGCTATAATGGCCCCAGGTTCCAGACTGAGAGGAGCAGCTGCCTGGCCTTGTGCTGGAGACCTTAGCCAGGCCTCTTATGGGCCTCCAGCAGGGTCCATTGGGTTGAGAGCGGCTGCAAGCCACAGGCTGAGCCAGGGTGATGGCCTCTTGGAGCAAATATTGCACCACCCAGGGAGCCCTGCCAGGACATGCCATGCCTAGGCCAGCTCCCTAGGGCAGAGAGGATGCCACCACTCCGGCTGGGGGTGTGTGGCTGAGCAATGGCCCTCCGACGCCTCACCTGTGCTTTGCGCCCCCTGTTGACGAAGGTGCAGACGGGGTTGTAGGCACCAGTGCCACAGACGTACAGGTGGGTCCGGTTCCAGGGCTGGATCAGGCGGATGAAGTTGCCACATTCGCCCTGTGAAGCAGGAGGAGAATGAGAGGGGTTATGGGGGCTTGGGGCAGCATGCGCAGGATCCTCGGCACCCCTATGCCCACCCCAGTTCTGCTTGCATGGTGCATGCTCAGGCCTCAGGTGTCAGGGCTGCTGGAGACTGGCATGTAGCCAGGAGGGTGTCCTGGTGCCAGAGGGGTGGTGTAGCCTGATCCCAAGCCTGGAGCTCCTCAGAGCACAGGGATTCAAATAGCCCAGGGATGGTGGGGGTCAGTAGGTACGGCCAGGACTGACCCCCGCTGCGTGGCCTGTAGCTGATCCAGCCCCGAGGACTCAGTGAAGGAACTTTCTCCCCACATGGAGTCCCACTGGGAGCGGATGGGGCTGGCGTAGCCATGAGCTCCCCCCAAGCCAGCGCTTCCTGCCCTGCTCCGGGCACCCCAACCCCTCTGCTCTGGGGCACAGGCCAGCGGGCACCTCACCTCCTCTGCCCCAGGGTGCAGGAGGCCAGTGGGTGCCCGACCCCTTTCTGCTCCAAGGGGGCAGGCAGGGGATGCTGGACTGTTCTTGTTGGGGCCGCGTTCCGGGGCCAGTCAGGCTGTATTACCAACGGGTGAGAGGCAGCAGTACAGCAATTATAACTGGGTGTCCTGCTGGGCCCGGCTTATTAGTTAACGACCCAGGGTCAGGGCCAGGCATCCTGTTTGCAGCTCCTGTTTCCTCCGCATCGGGGGAGGGGAGCCTGGGAGTGCAGCACGGGAAGCCGGCGAAGGAGCCATGGCAAACTGGGGGGCCGAGTGGGGACTCAGGCACGTTCGTCATCGGGGGAACAGGACAGGACCGACAGCAGCTGAGCGACCAGTGGAGAGAAGGACTGGGGGTCAGGCGGCTGCCAGGCATGTGGGGCTTGGCTCCGGTGGAGGCATCTCAGTGACCGCCAACCCCTCGCTTCCTCAGAACCAGGCACAGTTGCTCGATGGCCAGATGGGAACTGTGGGACATGTGGACTGGGGATTTCAGGTGGAGCCTGGCTGGTACCAGCAGGAACCCAGCCTAAGCCTGGCTGTGCCCCAAGCAGCAATGACCGTACGGTGTGTACCGCCGGGCATGGTGAGGAGCAGCAGTGCTGGCTGCCCCCCGCCCCCTCCTGGCCCTATACCCCTGACAGAGGGGCCACAGGGCCAAACCTGCTTGGGCAGGGGGCAGCCAGTGCTGCTTATCGCCGCTGCCATGGGGCTGGCTCCTGCACCAGGCATTCCCCCCAGGTGCCCCACTTCCACTCTTAGGGACGGGGAGTGACGCTGTACCTGGGTGGGCCAGGCTGGCAGGTGGGGCCTGAGCCTAGCATGGGCTGAGGGGGCGAGGTGCTGGGGGCAGCAGCTGCAGGGGGAATGGCTCCACAGGTGCGTCCCATAGGCAAGATTTCTGGGAGGTGCCTCTGCCCCCCACGCCCACATCCTCTCCAGTTCGGGCCCTGCGATGTCCATTGGAACGGGAGGACGTCCCCAGCTCTCAGTGTCCTGCCGCGATCACTTAGCCTCGCAGCACAGCAAGGATGAACTCAGACCCTCCCGTGGGTTGAATGACGGGACGATCACCAGGCCAGGGCAACCTGGATCCTCTCCCCATGGTCGATTGGTTACCATAGCAACGCGTCGGGGAAGGTCACACATACGTTCCCCTGGTGAGCCAACGGCCGTGTGATAGGCCCTGCCAGTATCACACGGCTGGGATGCAAGGCACCGGGGTGGAGATTCCCTGTTGTCATTAGAGCCCGTAGTCTGTCAGCTGACCCGGGGAGTGTGGATCTCAAAGAGCCAACCCCTGAAGGAGTGCTCAGGCCGGCTCTCCATGACCACAAGTGCCTTTGCCCAGCCCCCAGGCACACGCCCCCAGAAGGACTCACATTGTTGTTCTTCCCCGACAAGATGCATTCTTCGATCCGCTGCTGGGACGCGGGCCAGTGAATCTGACAAAACAACAGGCGCTCGATTGTCACCTGGGGTTTTCCACCGGGGCTAAATTTAGATCTGGCTGAACCCACGCAGCCGAGGCCTGGGCCCCTCAGAAAGCTCCACGCCAGGGTCTGCTACTGGCTTCCTGGCAGGAACAGCCAACAGCTTGGCCAGCACACGGGGATTGAACCAGGGCCCTGCATCTCACCGTGCTCCGGGGGCCGGGAGAAGCTGCCTTGGACTGACAGACGGGGAGGTTGAATTCCCTTCTCCCCAGGGGTGGCTCCACTTCGGCCCATGGAGAAGGCATCTCCTACAGTGGCGGATTTAAAGCTAGTGGGGCACTGTGCGCAGCTTCATTTTTGCCCCCCCTCCACTTGGAACCCAGCCAAGAAAAAGAACATTCTCTCTTATCTTCCCACCACCCCCGGGTTTTCATTCCTCCTTCTCCTCTAAGTAATGGGAAGTAAATGAAAATAAAGTGAGGTACCTTGATTGGGGCAGGGGGTTGGGGTGCAGGAGGAGGTGCGGGGGGTGGGCTCTGGGAGGAAGTTTGGGTGCTGGGGGTGCAGGGAGTTGGGGTGTAGGAGGAGGGGTAGAGGTGCAGGCTCTGGGAGGAAGTTTGGGTGCAGGGTGCGGGCTCTGGGCTGGGGCAGGGGGATTGGATGCAGGAGGGAGACGGGGGTGGGCGCATACCTTGGGTGGCCTGGCTCCCAAAGTGACCGGCACACCCCCCCCCCCTCTGGCAGTGGCTCCTAGGCAGTGGGGGTGGTAGGCCAGGGGGTCTCCGCATTCAACTGCCGGCAGGCACCGCCTCCATAGCTCCCATTGGCTGGGAACTGCAGCCAGTAGGAGCTGCAGAGTCGGTGCTCAGGGTGGGGGCAACACAGGGGCCACAGGGACATGCCAGCTGCTTCCAGGAGCAAAGCGGCATGGAGGGAGGGAGGCAGAGTGAGCAGGGAGCCACCTTAGCCCTGCTGCACTACTGCTGGCACGTCTCTGTGTCCCTTGGGAGGAGAGGAGCAATGGGGCTCCGTGCGCTGTCTCCCCCCACCAGGGGCGTGCAGAGCCATGCCAGCAGCTGGCCACTTTTGGGAGTGGCGTGGGGCCACTGGCCATGGCATGCAAGCAGCCTGCCTGCCTGAGCTCTGCTGAGCTGCTGGCTGAGACTCGGGGGCAGATTGTCAGATATTTGTCCTGCATTTTGGGGAACCCCCTGTTGTTGGGGGCCCCATGCCACTGCATGGTTTGTTTCATGGTAAATCTGCTCCTGGTCTCCTCCCCGGCAGCTCAGGCGCCAGATGGGGGAGGCGGCTCAGGGGCAGATAAAGGGCCCAAGCGGGGCTGGCACCCTTCCCGCTCAGCTTATCCTGCCCTTTAGCCCCTGTCCAGCCTCAGGCATGGACCCACGATCTGCTGCTGCTGCTTTATGGCTCCCCATTGGGCAGGCCCCAGGAGCCATGGGCTGGGGAAAGCTCCTCCAGAGAGGGCCCAGCTGAGCCCAGTCTGATGGGCCAGCAGGGCACCTGTGAGAGACCTGGGAATGCTCTGGGGGTGGCTTTGCCACGTGACATCCCACATGCAGTAGTAAGAGCTAAGAAGAGAGGAGGCAGGGTCTGGGCAAGCTCATGCTCCCCTCCCCCACAGCTCCATCACCACACGGCCATTAGGGTTGCCAGGCATCCGGTTTTCGACCAGAACGCCTGGTTGTAAAGGGACCCTGATGGCTGCGGTCAGCACCGCTGACTGGGCCATTAAAAGTCCAGTCAGCGGTGCCGCAGATCTAAGGCAGGCTCCCCACCTACCCTGGCTCTGCGTGTCTCCCAGCAGCGGTCGCCATGTACCTGTGGCCCCTAGGTGCAGGAGCGATCAGGGAAGCTCCAAGTTCTGCCCCTGTCTCCAACACTGGTTCCACAGCTCCCATTGGCCGGGAACCACAGCCAATGGGAGCTGCAGGGGCCTGGGGAGCGTGCACCACGCAGAGCTGCCGGGCCATGCCTCTGCCAGGCATCCGGACATGCTGGCAGTCGCACGGAGCCAGGGCGGGCAGGCAGGTAGGGAGCCTGCTTTAGTCCCGCTGTGCCACCGACCGGCAGCTGCCTGAGGTAAGCGCTGCCCAGACGGAGTGATCCCCGTTCTGCACCCCAATCACTGCACCTGGTCAGAACCCCTTCCCACACCCAAACTTCCTCCCAGACTCCATACCCCCACCTGCACCCCAACCTCCTGCCCCAGGTTGGAACTCTCTCTCACACCCAAACTCCCTCCCAGAGCCCACACCCCCTCCCGCACCCCACCACCTACCCCAGCCCTGAGCCCCCTCCCGTACCCTGCCTCGGCTCAGTGAAAGTGAGTGAGGATGGAGGAGAGCGAGCGATGGGGGGGAAGAAGGGGGCTGGAATGAGTGGGGGCAGGGCCTCAGAGAAGGCCTTGGGGAAGGGGCAGGGGCAGGGGCAAGGGTGTTCGGTTTTGTGCAATTAGAAAGTTGGCAACCCTAATGGCTGTGCGTGGGCGTGCTGGGGGTGACGCTGGTGCTGGTCAGAGGCGTCTGGCTGGCAGCCAGTGAGAGCATCCCCATGGGGGCCTCCTCAGTTTGGAGGTTTTCCTGCCCATGTCCCACCGCCGCACTGGAGTACTCAGGCTGCCTATGGAGGCTGATGTTTTTACTGGGTGGCTCATCTGCTCTCAGAGAAGGATTAGCCAGTGCAGAAACACAGGCACCGGAGCCCCGTCTGCTCCAGTGCTTCCACTCTCGCTAGCGCCAACAGGGAATCTTCAGAGAGCTCCTGCAGAGCCAGCCCATGGGGCAAGTCTCCATTTAACCCTCAGCTTCTCTGCTGAGACACCAGAAAGCACTGGGTCAGGGGGCTTTAGGGAGACCCAGACTGAGACAGGAGCCCATTTCCCTGTCCCCAAAGAGCCAGGAAGGGCCGTAGGATTGAGACGGTCACCACTGGCATGGGCCAGCTTTGAACCCCAACCTAGAGAAATTTGTACCTATTCCTAGCATGTGTTTCTCTGGCTTCAACTCCCAGCCATTGGGCGGGTTCTGCCTTTGTCTGCTAGGCCCAAGACCCTCTGCTACCGGATCTGTCCTCCCCGCTCGGGCTCCCATCACCCAGGATCAACCTTCTCTGGGATCAATTAAACAGCTGGAGCTTCCTAAATCGGTCAGCAAAGGGCCCTGACTGGCTCTCAGCTTCCCAGCCTGCCAAGGTCCTGGGGGAAGTGCAAACTAGAACTGGACAATCCCCAGCAAGGGTCTCACGTCCTGGGGCCCTGGTCTCCCCCCGGCAATGACTCAATACAAGGTGGAGCCAGGCAAAGCAGGGGATGGATGGTGGCTACCAACTCATTTCACTCCAGCCCAGGGGCCTAGCATTCTTCCCCCTCCTGCCCCACTTCTCCAGCCCTGCATCCCTAGCGGGCCCCCCAGGCGGAGGCAGGTCAGACGGGCTCTTACAATGAGGGGCTCCCGGTTGATGTCGTGCAGGTCCAGCGAGAGGATGTAGTCCTTGCTGCCCACGTACATGCGGTCATGGTCCTCGTCCTTCAGCAGGATGCGGTAGTCCGTGGAGTTGAGCAGGAAGTTGAAGAAGTGAGCGGTGCCAGTGGCCTTCAGCTCTGCGGGCAAACACAGACAGGGGGGTCAGGCTCCTCCTGGCAGGGCTCTGCGTGCAGCAGGACCCAAGAGAGCAATGACCCCACAGCTTGGAATCAGCCAGCCTGCAACACAGGGCCACGATGTCCACCACAGCCTCAGCAGCTGCAAGGTTCAAACCCCCACAGCTTTGGGGTGCAATAGGACTGTGGCACATGTGCCAGGGTCTCCCCTGCCAGGCTCTGAGCACCCAACTCACATGCCAGGGCTCTGCCAGCCTGTGACATTACTGACATAACCTGGGACAATATAAATCATTGTTGCAACCACGGTAATATATTTGCAGCAAATATTGTACAAAGGTTGTCGTGTAAGGTATCTATGGAAAGATTATGGTTTGCTGATTATGATTATGCTATCTGTATGCATGCATCATTTTTGTACCTGAAGTTATGAATATTGGCTATGTACTTGTATCTCAATGTGTTATAATTCTGAAGTAGCCTTGCTTGGCTACACTTGGGTGAAGAGCGCTGGGAGTTAAACCAGCCTTCGGAGACTGCAGCAGGGAAAATGCTGCCATGTGTTTACACTGTCAGCTGCAAGCACACTGGTGTGGCCAAATTAGCAGCTCTTGCAACGCCACAAAGAGCAGTGCATTGTGGTAGCTATCCCAGTGTCCAAGTGGCTGTAATGGGTGCTTTTCAAATGTGGGCTGGTGGAGTGTGACAGGGAGTGTGTTGTGTGTATGTGGGGGGAGAGACAGTGTGTTTTGGGGGGCTGAGAGCATGTCAGCATGCTGCCTGGTAAATTCAGACAGCAGCAGACCCCCCTCCCGTCTCCTCCCCCTCTCTCACACACACTCACAACAGCAGCATTCCATACTAATGGTTTGCTTTGTCCTGGGGCAGATAAGCATTCTGGCTGTCAGAAACGGAGCTTTGAAAGGGGATATCTGCATTCCTACAGCCGATTTCAAAACAATGAGAAGAGTGGCCACTTGACTTCAGGGGATTATGGGACATTTCCAGAGGCCAATCACAGTGCAGTAATGCAACACGTCCTCCACACTGACACCCGGGCATTTCAGCCGGGGTGCAGCAAGCTTTATGCTTCTCGTGGAGGTGGATTACCAGGAGTGCTCCAGCTGCAGAGTCCAGGTGCTCTACCTGCCTTGCAAGTGTGGACACCACAGGAGCTAGGGCTCCCGGGGCTGCTTTAATGTGCTCTAACTTGCAAGTGTAGCCAAGCCAAAGCATTTGGACAGCTTCTTGAGAAAGGAATTTGCAAGTTAAGTGCCCAACCAAGAAACACTTAACTGACAATAGACCTTGGTAGACTCCAATCCACATAAGAAGTCTTCCTGGGGACGTTCAAGATAGCATGTAGGCAATAGCTGCCACCTGTAAAGAACTAAATCATGAATGGACATGTGACTTGCCCATGAGACTCCAAACTGCATTTTGTGGTAATTTTCCACAGTAAGAACAAAGAGGTGTTTTTACACCTGGAAGAGACTATAAAAGGCAGCTGCCTCATCTCTATCTTGTCTTCAATCCTGCTTCTTGCCTCTGGAGGGACTTTGCTAAAAACTGAAGCTCTAAACCAAGGACTGAATGACCCATCCCAGCTGTGGATGTAATCCAGAGACTTGATTTGAACCTGCAGTTTATTCCATCAGTACTACAAGCCTGAACCAAGAACTTTGCCATTACTGCATGTAATTGATTCCACTTAACCAATTCTTGCTCTCATCAATATCTTTTTCCTTTTATGAATAAACCTTTAGCGTTTAGATTCTAAAGGATTGGCAACAGCATGATTTGTGGGTAAGATCTGATTTGTATATTGACCTGGGTCTGGGGCTTGGTCCTTTGGGATCGAGAGAACCTTTTTTCTTTTACTGGGGTATTGGTTTTCATAACCATTTGCCCCCATAACGAGTGGCACTGGTGGTGATACTGGGAAACTGGAGTGTCTAAGGAAATTGCTTGTGTGACTTGTGGTTAACCAGTCGGGTAAAACCAAAGCCCTCTCTTTCTGGCTCGTTTGGTTTGCCTTAGAGGTGGAAAAACCCCAGCCTTGGGCTGTTATTGCCCCGCTTTAAGCAATTTGTCCTGAATTGACACTCTCAGTTGGGTCCCACCAGAACCAGCACTGTTACAGTGGCATAGTCATGCTAGGATCCAGAGAACCAGGTCCATTAAGCTTTGGGTCAGAACCCCACGCTATCCACATTTGAATTTTGGTATTGAGAGTTTGGTTGGTTAAAGAGCAGTTGCAATGCGTGAGCACAGAGCATATGAGGGTCTTGACAAAAAAGCCCTGGAAGATTTGTGTTCAGAAAAGGGGATAAGCTTTAAAAAGAAAGCTACAAATCAAGGACTGAGAGATCTGTTAATGGCCAGTGATCAGGAGGCAGGAGCACAGCCCTTACCTGATGCTACAGAAGCTGCAGAGGCAATTAGAATGCAAAAGGCAGCAAGTAAACGGCAACTTGAGCATGAACAAAGACTGGCAGAAATTCAATAGCAGGAACTAGAAGCTAAGGCAAAAGTGGAAAGACTTAAGCTCCAACTAAAGAGAATAAAGGAACAACAGGAACTGTATCATCATGGAAAGCCAGCTTCTCTCAATAGCAAAGTTGGGGACAGAATCTGTCCAGTTTCTAACAATGTTGGTATGTTGTATAACTCTGAGCAGTTGTCTGGGTGTAACCCTGACACCTTTTATGTAAAGGCTGTTACTGTAAGTTCAGTAGAGACCCCATAAATTGTGCCTGTGCTATGTATGGCGGTGGAAATGAAAAATTCATAGAGAGTGTAAAAGTCAATGGAAAAAGCTGTTTAGGGCAAATTAGGGCTTCTAACATCACCCTTGTTAAAGCAGATCTTGTCAAAGAGGAAGATTACTTACCAAATCAAAGTGTGAATGAGTTTACTGTAAGAGTGCCTTTAGCCAGAATCCACCTTGAATTGAATGGTACTAAGCATGAAGAAAAGGAGTACTTGTGGCACCTTAGAGACTAACCAATAAGTTATAGCTGAGGTAAGGAAGTTATTGCCTAAGGATCTTTTGATTGGGGAAGATGTTAAAGCTTTGTTCAGTCCAGGTAGCCGGTCACAGGAAAGGAATGATGTTAAACCTGTGTCTATTATGGGCAATGATTTGCCCAGGGAGGGTTTTGCCAAATGTTTGTCTGAGGAAAAGAGCAGTTTGTGTGTGAATGAAGTTTCTGAATGTCTGTCTAATGTCTCAGAAGTGAATCTGGAATTAGTCAAGCACAGAAAGATCTCCTTGATCAGGAAAATGTTTCTCAGGAGCAGATTAAAGTGGATGGTCAGGTTAAAGCCCTAACTGAGGAAGGAAAGGGTAGATTTTTGATGGGTGATGAATTATTGGCAAGTACAGCTTGTAAAAGTGAACCTGAAAAAGGTAACTGATTTGTTAGAAGTAGCTGAGGGTAGTGAGAAGAGCAGCAGTTTATGTGTTGGGAGTGGCAATGTGCCGGGCGAGGGGTTCCCAAGAAACATTTTCCTGATCAAGGAGATCTTTCTGTGCTTGATCTAATGAAGACGAGTGTCCCTATACCTTACCTGGTACCTGTGTGGAGAATTGTGACAGTGAAGGAAACGTGCCTGTGTCTGTTGGGGGTAATGACTTGTCTATGGAGGGAGCTACCCCGATCTCCAAGCAGTTGTCTGTGAACAGCCCTGTGTGCTGGGACAAGGAAAATAAGATCCCAAGCTGTGTGTCTGGTGAAGGAGAATGTGTCTCCAGTTCTTTGTCTGTGAAGCCGACAGAAGGTGCCTTTCAACCTGTGATGGTTGAGAATACTGCAGTTGTCTCAGAGTTGGTTCTGAATTCAACTAAAGCCCAGGAAGGGAATGGTCCTAAGTTTGTGTCTGCTAGGGAGAATGGCACTGTAACTAGGTTGCATCCAGTTAGGGTATGTATACACTGGAAACTTAAAAGCGCTGCTGCGGGAACGCTCCTGCGCTCCTGGTAATCCATATCCACGAGGGAATTGGCTCCCAGCGCTCGGAGCCTGTCTATATTAGCGCTTTAAAGTGCTCAGACTTGCTGCGCTCATGCGGGTGATTTTTCACACCCGAGCCAGCAAGTTAGAGCGCTATAAAATGTAAGTGTAGACAAGCCAGTAGTGTTTTAGCAAAATCCCAGAGACCAGACAATTCTGGTGCTTGTATTTTGCCTGTTGCTTAATGTGTGGCTGAAAAAGGTTGTAGCAACTTGTCTAATCAGGGTGATATCCTAGCCAGGGCACAAGGAGAGCATAAAGGTGATTTAATTGTGTTACACACTGACAGTTTGAAAACTTGTAACAAGAAGGAAAAAATTCCTGAGCTTGTGTGTGGCAAAGGGAAGGAGAATGCTTCTGACCTTTAACTATGAAATCTAGCAGTTTGCCTGAAAGGGAATTGTGTAGAAATCCGTCTGATGAGCCAGAGGTGATCCTGGGTGTAAGATCCAGAAAGAGTCTGTTGTTGCTCAGGAACGTGTTCCTTTAGAGCAGTGGTTCCCAAACTTTAACAACCTGCGAACCCCTTTCACTAAAATGTCAAGGCTTGCAAACCCCCTCCTAAAAATGAATATTTCCAGGGATTTTCTCCTTTACCTGAGTATAAATTATAAAAGCAGTGATCTTGGAAATATAAAATTTGTTTTTATGACATGCTTATTACACACTATTTATTATTAATTATGATTTATCATTACCGTATTTTTATTACATTATGAAAACAGCAACACTCTTCCAAGATCTCACTTTTGTAGCTTGTATCACTTTGAATAAGCCAGTTATAAGACAAGGCTCCTAGGTTTCATCAAGGAGCATCAGATGTGAAACAGCATGAAGGCATTTAAGAAGCCAACTCAAAGAGTTCCTCCGACACAAGCATTCAGGTCTTGAGCAGGCCAGGCAAACAACACACGTTACAACAAAGCTTAAACTTATTCTTCATAATAATTTTAAAAACAATACTATCTGCCCATTTAATTTTAA